CAGGTTTTCAGCTCTTTGAGGTCTTCGTTGATAGCAAGACCATGATCCAGTCTCTCCAGTTTACGCTGAATGATAAAATTTCCTGCTCTGCAAGGGGTACATATACCACAGGATTCCTGCTTAAAAAACTCTGCATAATTAATCAGTATCTTTACAAGGTCTCTCTGACTATTGAATATCATAAAAGAACCACCCCTCGGAAGTTGTAGGGTATGTACCTGTAATATCAACGGGAAATATGGTCCTGCCTGCACTGAAAAAGTGTCAGAGGGTCTTGTAGTGGAAGTCAATAAAGAAGAGCTCATCGATACCAGAAAGGCACTCGTGGAAATGATGTTTGCAGAGGGTAATCACATCTGCCCTGCCTGTGAAAAAAGTGGTCAATGCGATCTCCAGCACATGGGATATGAACTGGGAATTTCTTCTACAAGGTTTCCGCACTTGTTTAAAGATCGTGTCATAGATTACAATCCCAGCCGTATCGTAATGGAACACAACAGATGTATCAAGTGTCTGAGGTGTGTCGTCGAGGTCCTGACCGATGATGGAAAGCTCGTCTTCAATTATGTCAATCGGGGCAACGAAACATATGTAGGTGTAGATTACGAACAGGAGGCTAAGCTCACTGATGAACAAATACATCATGCCATGAAGATTTGCCCGACAGGATCTATCATCGTAAGAGGCGAAAGTTTTTCAGCGCCTTTCGGCGAAAGAAAATACGACATGGAGTCTGTCCAGTTACATCGAAAACCAGAAAAAAAATCCGATGATGTAAGACCTTTGGCCAATGAGAAAAAAATTGTAGCCACTGTCTCTCTCGCAGGATGTTTTGGTTGTCATATGTCATTACTTGATATTGATACTGAATTGCTTGATGTGATAGAATTGGTGTCTTTTGATAAATCGCCTCTGACAGACATTAAAAAATTTACCAACCGCTGCCATATTGGCCTAATAGAAGGAGGATGCTGTAATTCAGAAAATATTGAAACATTGCGACTCTTTCGCGAGCATTGTGATATCCTTGTAGCGATGGGCGAATGTGCCGTTTGGGGTGGATTGCCTGCGATGCGTAACTCAATACCGCTCAGTGAGTGTCTGGAAGAAGCATATCTCAACTGTGTCACCAATGAAACTAATTCCAATATTGTACCATATCACGAAGATCTTCCAAAAATCCTCGATAAAGTGTATGGTTGCAATGAAATAGTTAAGATTGATTACTTTATACCCGGCTGTCCTCCTGATGCAAGCCATATATGGAAGGTAGTTAAAAATCTCTTGTGGGGTGAAGATTTCTCCATCCTCTATTCTGAATTTAAATATGATTAAAATCTAAAAAATAATGTCAAGAAAAATCATCATAGATCCTGTCACCCGAGTTGAGGGTCACGGACGCGTCACTATCCATCTGGATGAATATGGACAAGTAAAAGAATCCTTTTTTCATATTGTCGAGTTCAGGGGATTTGAAAGATTTATACAAGGTCATCCATATTGGGAAGCACCCGCACTTGTGCAGCGCCTGTGTGGTATTTGTCCAGTGAGCCATCATCTGGCTGCTGCTAAAGCGATAGACCAGATAGTAGGTATTGATCCAGACGATTTATCTCCTACGGCTACCAAAATAAGAAGACTGATGCACTTTGGTCAGGTATTTCAATCCCACGCATTACACTTTTTTTATCTGGCTTCTCCTGATCTTGTTTTCGGAATGGATGCTCCAGTCGAAAAAAGAAATGTGGTGGCAGTAGCCGGCGCAGATCGTGATTTAGTAGTACGAGGTATTACGATGCGCAAATTCGGACAGGAAATCATCAAAGCTATCGCAGGTAAAAAGATTCATGGAATACTTGCTGTTCCGGGCGGAATACACAATGCATTGAGTATGCAGGAAAGGGATTATTTTCTGGATGGCAAAGAGATCGAAAACATAGATACCATGATAGCCTGGTCCAAAGAAATGGTGGACTTTATTCATGACTATCACATTAAAAACAAA